TTCTATAATCGAAACAATGTATAACTTCAGCTCTGAGATCCCGGCAGGCTGAAAGCTGGTTTCTAGGGTTTTGTTTAGCTTCTTATTTGCAACATAGTACATAGTTGCTTAGAGTTGCAACTCAGAGGCCGGCAAGTGAGGCGGGGAACGTTGGAGTCTGCAGTCACTGAAGCAAGGAAGCCTCATGTTCGCTTCCAGCTGCCTGGCTGCCGGCCGCCATCTTGGTTGACAGTTAATTTGCATAAGGATATGCTGATTAGCCAATGGGAAGGGTAGCGGTCGTACGCTAATTACCATGTTTCTCTTTTATTAGTGTAGATTATTGCAATAGTTTTATAATAGGTCTCCCTGATTCTGTCCTTACCCCTCCTATACTCTATGGCAGACACAGCCTAAGTCAAATTATATCACTTCTGTCTTCAGAAACTTTCTTCAGTGTCCCTTCTCACTTAAAAAAAAGCCAGTCTTTACAATGAACTTTAAGGCTCCATATGATATGACTCCTGGCTACGTTTCTGATCTCTTCACCAACTACTGCCCACATGGCACTCTGCTCCAGTCACAAAAGCTTGTTGTTCCTCAAACATACCCGGTACACTCCTGCTCAGCACCTTTGCACTTATATCCACTACTTAGGGGAATTTACATAGCTCACTTCCTCACTCCCTTTAAGTTTTTGTTCGGATATCACACCAACCACACCACCAACCACAATCACCATTCTATCACTGACAGTTACATACACACACATAGGCTCACCCATTAGTTCTCCTTTGTGCCTATTTCTTTTAACTTCAGGATTATAATAAATATATCATAAACTTACTGTGAATAGTTTGCATTACTGTGCTCTGATATATCTATGGTATGCAGTACTGTGGAAGTAGAAGACCATTGATGTTTTACAGGCTTATGTTCAGAGGACTTAATGTGTTAAACAAGGTAGTATGACCCAGGATAGGCAGAATATGATAAGACATTAAGTTGGGTAAGATTAATTCAAATGTTGACAAGTCAAATTACCCTGAAAACTAGGTGCAATGCTGCTACATTGATCAAAACTTTATTGTCTTCCATTTTATATTAATTATTAAAAGGGGTTTAAATAAATAAAATCAATTATATCACCATTTTCATTTCTTTCATTCAGCCAACCTAGTAATAAAGGTTAATGTGATTTTCATTAGAGAAAAATTATAGAAAACATCTGCATGATTTACGAATTTAAACACTAGGAGGATATGTAAAGTACTTAATAATATCCCATACAATTTTTTGAAAATATAATAAAATTCATATAGAGAAAAAGCAATAATATATCTATTGACATGACATGATTTTATTTTTAAAAAATATTTTAAAATGTGATGGTATATAAAATAATGATATACTTATAAAATATTAAATTACCTTTGTTTCTTTGGAGCTCATTTTTCAAATCTTCAATAATAAACGTATTTTTTTCCATTTCCTTTGTATATTGTTCTACTTGCTCAGTGAGCATCTTAATATGACTGTCTCGTTCTTGTATACCCTATAAAATACTTATTATTACATATTATCTTTTCATCAATATTAGCATACCTTTTTAAAGTAAGAAAAAAGGTAGGTCTTGCCAGCCAGTGGGCTCGGTGGTTGAGTATTGACCCATGAACCAAGAAGTCACCAGATTGATTCCAGGTCACGGGACATGCCCGGGTTGAGGGTTCGATCCCCAGTAGGGGCATGTGTGCAATAGGCAGCTTAACCATGTTTCTATTTCTCTCCCTCTCCCTTCCTCTTTCTCTAAAAGTCAATAAAACATATTTTTAAAAAGAAATTCTTAAAATAAAAAGGTAGGTCTTGTTTTTTTTTATTAAGACTAGAATATATTTTTTATGGGTCAAAACATGCCTTTTACTATCTTATATATCTCAATTGTACTATACAACATTAAGTACAATGCTGTCATTCTAATAACTTAAAGACGATTTAATGGCTAACACTCCAGCAAATAGGAATTCTAGAACTCTAATATTTGTAGCTTCTTAGGGTTCCTTTTATGTTACTTTTTCCCATCATCCACCCAATTCCATCTTTTTTACCATTTTGTATGTTTGTGTTTAGCCCTGTGCATCCTCACTTACTTAACTTAGCTTTTAACCCTGCAGTACTCAAAATCATTGTCCCTTGAAATTGTTATTCACCAAATACTTCCAAAATTTCCTTCTCTTTTGAATTATGACTATAGAGCACTGAAAATGAAAGTGTGAATTCTTTCTCTACGAATATATTTGTACTAAAACTAGAAATCCTTATGTAGTACAGTCTTATAACCACACTTTTAGCCTATTTCACATTGTATAGGATATTTCAGCACTAAAATACAATATAATAAACTTTAATAGCAGAGTATTAAGACGTTTTAAACTTCTAAACGTTTTTAATAGTTTCATATTAAATAATTCCAAAATCAAAACAATAAATATATTATCTATATCAATGCAGAAAAATACACAAAATAATTATATTCCCAACACAAAACTTAATTCTAATTTTATTGTGGGACTGGATGGTGTAAGAAACTTCAAGAGACTTTATTATATATCCAATAGTGCAAGCCACTATAATTGGCACTGGTGATATAATAAGACAGTGCAAGGTTTCATAGCCAACTTTAATAAAACAGATTGATAAACCAAATTTTACCTGTTGTAGAGCCATAACGTTACTTTTATCAGCATCAAGCTGGGCATTTTTCAGTTTCTCCCTTAGGTTATGTAACATTTGCTGATATTCAATAATTTCATCATCTTTAGAAGACAAAATTAACTGGAAATAAATGAAAAAGGACCTGTTACATAAGAGAAAAACGAACAAACCATTCCTCAATTATGATAAATACTCTAATATATACCATCGGGAGATTTAAAAACAATACAGGAAATACAATTCTTTGAAGTGAAAAAGTATCAACAACTATTGAGTAATCATTATTCCTTCTGTGTGTACAACTTGAATTTCAAATAGGAAATGATTCAAAAATATATACTGTGGTTTTTGCTATTCTAGGAATTGATTCTCTAAACAATCTTAAACTTTCAAAACCCATTCCTAAAACAAGAAGTTACAAATACTTCCATGTATTACAAAAAGCTTTGTACAACTCATCTTTTTTTTTTACATATATTTTTATTGATTTCAGAGAGGAAGGGAGAGGGAGAGGGAGATAGAAGCATTAATGATGAGAGAGAATCACTAATTGGCTGCCTCCTGCATGCCCCACACTGGGGATTGAGCCTGCAACCCGGGCATGGGCCCTGACAGGGAATTGACAGTGACCTCCTGGTTCATAGGTCGACACTCAACCACTGAGCCACACCAGCCAGGCAGTATGACTAATCTTTATGAAGGAAACATTAAAGTACCACTGAGAAGCATAAAATACCTTGAGTGAATGAAAGGTATCTTATAGTGTTGTATGAAAGGAGAGGTTAGCCCTCCCCATGACAAGGATGGAAAAGATGCTCGGGCATGACAACATGCATAGGATTAAGGCATTGCCACCTACTTCACAGCAGCTAACCTTTGTTTTTTAATACTGTATTGCATATTTGAAAAAAGCTAAGAGAGTGGATCTTGAAAGTTTTCATCACACAAAAAAACTGTAACTATGTATAGTGATGGATGTTAACTGCATTTATTGCAGTGATGATCATTTTCCTATATATGCAAATATGAAATCATTACACTGTGCACTTGAAATAATTTTATGTTATGTCAATTACACTTCAATTTAAAAAAAAGAAAGGAATCTTGTGTTCTTTGCTAGTAGGACCAAATATCAACAGCAATCTATAAATTCATTTATAAATTGAATACATACACAATAAAATAACAAATATTTTTTAAAACTATTTCTAGCCTAGCCAGTTTGGCTCAGTGAATAGAGCATCGGCCCACAGACTGAAGGGTCTGAATTTGATTCTGGTCAAGGGCACATACCCCGGTTGCAGGCTCGATCCCTGGCCCTGGTTGGGGCGTGTGCAGGAAGCAACTAATTAATGTGTCTCTCTCACATCAATGTTTCTCTCTCTGTGTCTCTCCCCCTCCTTTCCACTATCTCTAAAAATCAATGGAAAAATACTCTTGGGTGAGGATTAACCAAAAAAAAAAAAATATGTGTGTGTGTGTATATATATATATACACACACATATATAAAATTTGTATTAAAAAACACATTTATAGGGAGGAGTCTAAAAATAGAAAAATGAGAACAGCTTTTTCCAAATATTTACACATAACAATAATTAAAACAAGTATACATGGTTAAAAATAGATCAATCGATATAAAAAAAGGAAGTACTAAAATAAATTCAAATTGAACAAGTTTGTTGTAATAAAAATGGAACCGTATTTTAGTAGGAGAATGATAAAATATTCAATAAATTATGTTTGGACAACACTAGCTCTAAGTGCATACATATCTCATTTTTTATACCAAAATGAATTACATATACTTCAAAGATCTAAATGTAAAAAATGGAAGTAAAAGATGCTAGAATATGAGGAAATAATTTTATATTCAGAATCCTTTCTAATTATGATATAATGGCCAAAAGCCATAACATATACAACTATATAATGCATAAAAAATATTTCATAACAAAAAAATACCATAAGCCCACCCAGGGACGCCAAAAAAATAAATACCATAAGCCAAAACACAAATGACAAACTGAAAGAATATAGTTGCAATGTGTATCACAATTATACTTGTATCAATTTATTCTATAGATATAGATTTTCAAAATAATGAATATACAATGATATTTCATTAAAATAGTTTCCAACAGGAAAAATTGGAAACCTCCTAAATATTACACAAAGAAAAATTACACAGCCATTAAAAAGAACAATGCAATATTATATGCACTGATATAATGTTTCTTAAAAAGCAGCCTGGCCTGTGTTGCTCAGTGGTTGAGTATAGACCCATGAACTAGGAGGTCACAGTTCAATTCCCAGTCAGGGCACATGCCTGGGTTGTGGGCTTGATCCTTGCTGGGGAGCGTGCAGCCAATCAATGATTCTCTCTCATCTCTCATCATTAATATTTTTCTTTCTCTCTCCCTCTCCCTTCCTCTTTCTGAAATCAATTAAAAAAACATTAAAAAATCTATTTATAAAATTTTAAAAAATACTAAGCAAAAAGATAGATACTAAGAGGGTGGGCTAGAAAGAGTCAATGGGGAAAAAGCTGATGTATGTAATACTTTTAACAATAAAGATTTTAAAAAAGAGAAATATTTGAACAAAAAAAAGATACTAAGGAAAAACAAAGTACAAAAGAATACATATGCTACCATCTCTCCTCCCACAATTAAATATGGTAAAAACAACTTTTTTTCCCTAGGGATTGGTAAATTATGCCTCACAAATCAAATCTGGCCTGCTACCTATTTTTGTAAAGATGTATTAGTACTTTGCTCATTCATTTATGTATTGTCTACAATTGCTTTCACGCTATAATAGCAGAGTTGAGTAATGATACCAAAGACCAAATGGTCTAAAATATTTATTCCCTGGTCTTTTACAGAAGGTTTATTGTCCTCTAATTGATTCTATAGGACTCATTTGCCTTTGTTTAAAATATAGATTATCTGAGCTTCCCAAGTGATTACCAATTCCAAATAACCAGTAAGATTTATGTGAACCCTGTTAGAAACATTGACTAAACTGATGGCTTTTATAATTAAAACTAGAGGCCCGGTACACAGATTTGTGCACTGGTGGGCCCCTAGGCCTGGCCTGAGCTCTCTCGCAATCCGGTACCCCTCGGGGGATGTTGGAGGCCCAGTGCACAGATTTGGCCCAATCCCTGCAGGCAGGCCGAGGGACCCCACTGGTGCACAAATCCATGCACCAGGCCTCTAGTATGCATATAAGATCTTTGATTAATCTCTTCCCACCCTTCCCCCTCCCCCCTCCCATCTGAGATTCATTAGTCTGTTCCATGTTTCCATGCCTATGCATTGAGTGTCTGCCACCTGGTGGTCAATGTGCATCATAGCTACTGGTTGAATGGTCAGTCACTTAGGCTTTTATATATATAGCCTAGAAGCCCGGTGAACAAATTCATGCACAGGTGGGCCCGCAACTGAGGCCTATGGGGGGGGGGAAAGGGATTGTGGGAGGTTGGCCAAATGGCTCCCCCTGATAGGGGCCATCAGGGGGCTGGCCAGGGGGAGGGGCTGCTGGAGATTGGCTGTGGGAGTGCACTGATCACCAGGGGGTAGCTCCTGTGTTGAGTGTCTGCCCCCTGGTGGTCAGTGCAAGTCATAGCAATTGGTCGGCCGGTCATTCTGGTCATTCGGTTGTAAGGGTTGCTTAGGCTTTTATAAATATAAATATATTTTATTCAGAATCATTTCAGACTTTTTGAAAATATGTAACTGTTAGGATCCTACTTCTGATTTGGTAAGGCTGGGGATATGTTGTGGTTGGAGAGCAGTGAGGAGGAAGAGATTTTTGAAAAGACATCACAGATGATTCTGAAAGATCCCTTTCCTTACTCCCATTCCCACTGAATCCCAAAAGCTTAATTACTCTGACGTGGAAGGAGAGGCAGAAAAACTGACTACACTAAAATGTAACCTGGAACTACATATCTAACATATTTAAGGTAACTATGATTTATGTTAAAGTAATTAAGTCTATTTAGAATTGTCTATTTTAGATGACAAATACATTTTATTTTGGACTTAGATTTCTATCAAAAATTTTCTTTACAAGTTGAACTCACTGAATGTGGAAGAGCTCATTCAACAACAAATAAGCTAGAGGACTACGCAGGACAAAGGAGTTTTTCTAGCTAGGACATTTAATACACTTTTTTAAATGCCTAATAAATATGTCATTAACTGTTATAAGGCCTTTAAAGAAAACAGGACTAAAAATTGAAATCTAAACTGCAAATGAAAAAGCCATTATGTCAATTGTAAAAGGCACCTTCCATTCTTCTACTTTTGCATTAACAGCTACCATGATTGGATCATCTTCTTCATTTTTTGCTTTTAGAAGATCTGTAAGCTCCTGCACCTAGAAGGTAACAATCATCTCTAGAATTATTGCAAATTAGTGTAATATAAATACATTTATTATACATGAATACTTATAAATATATTACACACACAATATGCATTTACATACACATATACACACATACATTATTAATGTATATTCACTAGTGGCTCAGTGCATGAAATTCGTGCACGGGGTGGGGGGGTCCCTCAGCACGGCCTGCACACTCTCCAATCTGGGACCCCTCAGCAGTCGGACATCCCTCTTACAATGTGGGATCACTGGCTCCTAACCGCTCACCTGCCTGACTGCCTGATCGCCCCTAACCACTCTGCCTGCCGGCCTGATCGCCTCCAACTGT